AAATGAAATGTGTGACGAAATAGAAAACCTAGAGAATAAACATGATGTATTCAAACTCTACAAGAAATTTGTAATCTCCAATAATAACAACAATAATAATATACTCACCTCCAATAATAATATATCCACTCTAGCTGACAAAAAAAATTATAGAAAGATAAGTACAAATTCAAGTATGAGAGGAATTTATCGAAAAATGCATTTCGAATGACAGACCTGAATTGCAATCCCCTGACTTGAAGGACCCCCAATCCTAGACGTAGAGGCAAACATGCGATACAATGTGCAAATAATTGGAAACCTTGTGGACCACACGGAATATAGATGTAATAAAACTACATGATAATAGCATAAAACTACTAACACATCTTTTTAACAACATATATGAAATTGGAGTAATACCAAAGGAATGGCTTAACTCAGAATTCATAGCTATACCAAATAAATCCAGTTCCCGCAAATGCGACGAATTTAGACTCATTAGCTTAATGAGCCACTTACTAAAAATATTCTTAAAGATCATACAGAATCTAAAGGCCTTGAAAACAATAGGGCGCTGTTTGTGACTGAAATACTCATTCAAAAATTTCTGTATTTCCAGAATAATACAGTTCAGAGTCCAGCATGAAAAATTGTTGTATGAACTACAGAAAATGAAGCTAAACAAAAAAGATAGCTGCATAATTCAAAACTTTTATTAGAACCAAAAGCTACCTGAAAATATTCCAACCGTCCGTATACAAACAGGTGTCCGACAAAGCTGTGATACGTCTCCATTGTTCTTCAACTTGTACTCTGAATGCATATTCAAAGCAGCACTAGACGGCGCCGAAATTAATATAAAAATAAATAGAGATTGAACACCTATAAAATATACTAGACAGAGTTAATAATACAAGTCAAGCAATTGAGCTGACAATAAATCTTCTAAAAGCTAAAGTAATGATGATTAGAAAAACCGATGAAAATTATCGAAAATAACACTAAATTAGAACAAGTTCACAAATTGTGATACTTAGAATGTATAGAATATATAGAAGGTAGAATATATAAAATATGGGAAAAACAATGGAACAATATTTCAGGAATGTCAAAAAAAATATATTTTTCTTTACATCAACAACTCTCTTCGCCACTTGAGAGGAATATTTCTACTATTGTGAGATTAAAAACTCAACACCGCAAATATGCGACACATCTGCCTAAATTAGGAATAGTGAATTCACCAGTTTGCTTTTGTGATAATGTTTCTATTAGAGATATGATATCTTTGATTTGATTCTATTTGAGATAATCATATTTTCCTGAAATGCAAAATTAACGAGAGATATATAGACCAATTATATTACAGTCTACAACAAGAACAAGTATGTTTTCCAATTAGTATAGTATACAATTGTATATATTACAATATATAATCCAATTGGTATACTAAGTTTCCATGAATGATATGAGAATAATTAAATTACTGATTGACTAAGTGGAAAAATAAATATTGCCATTTAAATGCAATATATATTTTTATTATTTCTTCGAGATATTAGCAGGTAAGCTATTCAATCTATATATTATTTTAAATAATAGGGTTTTTGGTCATTGTTTCTCACTAATATAGTTCATATAATGGTGTGGTTAAAAAATTATGACATTATTAAAATGTATGCTATAGTCGCTTAAACCGGACCCCCCGTAGTTGCCTAAATCGGACCCCTTATTTTTTAAATTTAAAACTTCGCTGTTATGCAACTTCGCACTTCTATGATTTTCAATTTTGTTACAGATTAAAAATCAATTAAATAGGGAAGATCGAACAGAGAAAGTGGAGTCAGTCTAAAATGAATAAGGCCATTGATGCAGTTCGAAATAAGAAGATGGGGTGGAAGAAGGCAAGTAAATATTTTAATGTGCCGAAGACAACGCTGATGAGATTAAGCAAAGATAAGTATGGTACGCCTATCGAAGCAGCACTAACAAAAAGAGGCAGACCTACAATATTAGGCAAAAATCTTGAAGACGAGCTAGTCCAATATTGTTGTGTAATGGAAGCATCGTTTTTTGGACTCACTAGAAGTGATCTAAGAAGAATGGCCGTGCAAATGGCATTAATCATCCATTCAAAGAAGAAATAGCTGGTAAAAAGTGGGCCAATCTATTTCTTAAACGGCACAAACAAAACTGTCAGAAAGAAAGCCCACTGGAACATCTTACAGCAGGGCTCTTGGGTTCAATAAAGAAAATGCGCAGAAATGTTATCAACTCCTGGAGGATTTGTACGTTAAAAATGAATTAGTGGGACGAATGAATTAGACGAGAGCGGAATTAGTATGGTGCAGTCTAAAATACCCAAAGTTATAGGTCTTAAAGGTAAAAGGCAGATTGCTGCCCTGACATCAGGAGAACGTGGATCCCTTATAACGATTGTTGCTTATATGAATGCCACTGGCTCATTCGTACCTCCTTTAGTGATTTTTCCGAGAAAAAATATGAGTGAACAATTGAAAAAAGGAGCCCCATCAGGAACAATTTTTGCAGTGCATCCTTCAGGTTGGATTCAAATCAACTCCTTCACTCAATGGTTTAAGCACTTTATCGACTTTGTCCATCCTACAAAGGAGAAACCTGTGCTTTTACTCTTAGATGGCCATTATAGGGGCACTCAAAATATTGAAGTGATCGATTTGGCAAGAACACACCATGTTACCATTGTGTCCATACCATCTCATTTCTCACACAAACTTCAACCTTTGGACAAAAGTTTCATGGGTTGTCTCAAAACTTACTACAGTGAGGAAATAAGGCAGTGGTTAAGAAACAATGAAAGGCCACTTACAGCTTATGATGTAATGGAGTTCTTTGGCAAAGGATACATTAAATGTCAAACAGCTGAAATTGCAATCAATGGGTTTAAAGCCACAGGAATATACCCACTCAACAAGGAGCTCTTTTCTGATGCCGAATATATTGAAGAAGCAAACAAAATGCGAGATTCATCTTTCTACGAATCCATGTCAAAGCAAAAAACGGCAGGTAATGAAAGCTCTACAGCGATTAGTGATAAATGTGTTATGACGATGAAATGAATCACAAGTTAGTGCAGAGTTTTACCCGAATCAACCGTCAACATCTTCGGCAGGTCAAGGTAATCCTGTGTTACCATCTACATCTGACTATCCTCATAGTCCAAAATCGTCTATGATAAGCCCGTTTGAAATTACTCCTATTCCAAAAATCAAAAAAGGACCACTAATAGGGGACGGAAAGCCTGCAGTTCAACAGTCATCACAGCTTCTCCTTATAAATTCAAGTTAATGGAATCTAAAAAAGCTAAAAAAGCCATGAAAACTGAACAGCAAGAACGCGATCAAAGTTTCAAAGGCAACCGCGGCATAAAAGGTTGTTCGACGGCAGGCCCTTCTAGAAAAGAGAAAGAGATAGTAAAAAGATGTCTAAATTTTAAGAAACAAGAATCAGACACAGAAGATGAAATCAGTGTCTCTTCTGGAACATCTGAATTTGACATTATTCCGGGAATGTCACCAACTAAAGACGATGACGCTTTGTGCATGTTTTGTGACAAAAAATATTCGGAAGATTGTAAAGGCGAACTTTGGGTCTTGTGCATTATGTGTTCGTTGTGGGCTCATGTGGATTGTGCTGGGGCTGATAAGGATGCCTACATATGCGATTTTTGCAGATAAATTAATAATTTTGCTAAATATTTTTGTATATTTTATGTTTTTATATTCGAAATTGTTCCAATATACGTCTATTTAGAAAGTAGATCATGTTTTCTTTTATTTAATACTTTTTTTCAATTATTGGTACGACTTTGTTAATAATTTTTAAGGGGGTCCACTCTTAGCAACTATTTTCCAAATTCACCAAAGGTTAGATTTTGGAAAATACATATTTTTTATATTAATTTTTAATTATTATTAATGAAAGTTTAGTATAAATGAATTATAACATTATGAAGTAAATGGTATGTACTTTTATATTTTTTTTGCTATTTTTCATACGCATGAATTGAAAAACAAAATGGGCGTCCAGTTTAAGGCATTTTCCTCTATATTATATATATATATTATATATATATATATATATATATATATATATATATATATATATAAATCAAAATGTGCTTAAAAAATAACAAATAAAAATCTGTGGCTAATGGACCTGCTTCCAAGCCATATTCTCTCTCTCTCACACACATAAGATTAGACATCCGAATTAGAGTTATTAAATGCTATGTTGGTCAGTCGTTCTGTAAGAAGTTGAAGCCTGGACATTAAAATTAGATACCATAAGACGGTTAGAAGCCTTTAAAATGTGGCTTTATCGTAGAATGCTTAAAATATCATGAACGCAACACATTATGAATCGAACAGTATTAAATATCATAAATAGAGAGTTAGAACTTTAACAATGAATAAGAAAAGAAAGATCTCGTACCTTAGCCACATAATGAGAAATAACAAATATCCTGCTACTGATATTGAAGGGAATATAGAGTTCCGAAGCGGAGCAGCCAGAAGAGCTATGTTATGTCTTCGCAATATCAGAACTTGGGACATGAATGTTCAACAATTACTAAGAGTGGCGCAGAATAGAGAACATTTTGTTGTAGTAATTGGAAACTTCCAGTAATGGAGTGCACCAGAAAAAGCTACCAAATAACAAAACAAAATAATCTTTTAAGTTTTATTTTAAGAACAATTTCCGAAGTGGAAATTGAATCGTCAAAATAAACGTATTTTCAGCTGAAATTGTGGTTAATTCTAAATAGAAATACTAATTACCTATGTGAACAGTTCAATTGAAATAAAAACCAAAAATAACTGTGGTTAAAAAAATAATTTGTCAAGTATATAATTGATAACTTGTTTTAAATCAACTTAATTAATTACAAGAATTGCATATTAATTTTATTCATCCTGAAATTAAATCGATATTTTTTTTGGAATTCCTAAGATAAAATTAAGATAGTACCCACTCACCTTGGAGAGGTGTCCGACCTAGAGTAGATTCCACAACGACACCAAACACAAACAAAAACAAAAGGCGGCGCCTCATTTTAATGTGAGCCGCGACTCGAAATATTTCTGCTTTATATACTAACCACTATCGAGATGTTTGACCCGTTTCTGATCAACGGTACCCTTCGCGTCGCCTTGTTCGAATGACTACAGACTAACAACTAATCGCCATTACCATTTTCAATATTGCTCTTTTTATTATGCTTCAATACGAGTGATCCTGCATCAACACAGGATAAATATAAACCAAGGAATGTTTTCAACTTATGCCGATAATGAGACGAATCAGAAGAATAAGCCATAACAACCACAAGAATTTCAGCGTGCTTAAACAGTACCGTATTGCAAAGTAAACACATAACAACTGAATTAAAATCTAGTGTATACAAAACTGGTTATTAAAATATTTCTTTATGAATAATCCACAACTTATTAAAATATAATTTTACTCAACGTTTCTGTCCCCCGAAAACGATTTACTGTCTGCAGGCCGACATATTAAATAACGAATGGTAGTGTACTCCTAATAACCAATTATTATTATATAACAAATAAGGGCAGAGGAGCGAGCTCCTATTATGCCCAAAAATAATAAATAAAAAAATATCCTTATAAAACTAATACCAATTATAAAGTTAAGACAAGTTAAACAATTAAGTATATCATACAAAAATTGAATTATGAAACCATAAATAAATAAATAATGCAGTCGGAAAATAACACAATCCTGTAAATAAAATAAAGCGCTATCAAGTTTATTTTTAAATATGTTAACACTAGTTACTGGCACCGTATGCAAAGCAAATACTAGGACAATACCAGGCTGGTTTCAGAGGTAGTAAATCAACAATTCATCAGATTTCAACCCTGAGACAAATTCTAGAGAAAACACTGGAATACGGTGTAGACACGCACCACATATTTATAGACTACAAGGCAGCCTACGACTCTGTAAATAGAAGAGAATTGTTAAGAGCAATGATAGACCTGGGAGTACTAAATCAGTTGGTAAGTCTAACCAAACTAACCCTTGACAAAGTTGAATGCAGAGTACGAAACCAGGGGAAACTCTCTGAACCTTTTAATACAAATAACGGGCTACGTCAGGGAGACCCACTCTCCTGTATACTATTCAATCTAGCTCTGGAAAAAGTAATACGTACGTCACAAATCACAACTACCGGTTCAATATATAACAAATCTGTGCAAATCCTAGCATATGCTGATGATATCAATATTGTTGGGAGAACGGAAAACGCAGCACGAGAGGCGTATGTAGCACTAAAGGAAGCGGCTACAAAAATAGGTTTAATAATAAACATTAATAAAACAAAATACATGAAAGTAGGTCCGCAACCACAAATACGACGGCCACTTGATATAGAAAACGACGTCATCGAAGCAGTTAACGAATTTGTATACCTGGAAACGCTCCTCAATACTGAAAATGACATTACCGCAGAGATAAACCGCAGAATTTGCACGGCTAATAGATGCTATTTTGGGCTTAATCTCCTTTTTAAATCTACAGCTATATCAAGAAATACAAAAGTAAAACTCTACAAAACAATAATACGCCCAGTTCTAACATATGGTTCAGAAACCTGGACTTTAACAAAAAACAATGAAAACATGTTAGGATGTTTCGAAAGAAAAATACTGAGGCGAATCTATGCAGCGGTAAATGAAAATGGTGTCTGGAGAAGACGATACAACTTCGAACTCTATAGAATATACCAGGAACCAGATATCGTAAAACACATTAAGATAGGACATCTGAGGTGGGTAGGCCATGTAATGCGGATGGAGCAAACTGACCCAACTAGAAAAACGCTCCTTGATAGACCTATTGGTCAAAGAAGAAGAGGAAGACCCAGAACAAGATTCCTAGATAACATAGACCAAGATATGAGAAATATGGAAATACGTGCTTGGCGGAGGAAGGCGATGGATAGGGACGACTGGAAGAGAATTCTTGGGGAGACTAGGACCCACACATGGTTGTAAAGCCAAAATGATGATGATGAACACTAGTTACCTATATGGTGTCTTAGGAAGGACATAATTTGGTCTTCCGAAGACGTCGCTCCAATGTCATAAGCTGAGCCATGGATAGTCTATCTTCATAGTAAGGACTTACACGTCCGTATGCCAGTCTTGTGGTTTTGCTCTGACCATTTTCAAGTAGGATTTTATCGCGACAGATCTGGATTCCACACTGGTCCGGCAAACTCAAGAATAGGTCTAATGTATATTGAGTAAAGTTTACTAACAGAGGTTAGAGATATACCTGTAAAACATTTACGGTTTAAAAACAGTTTCGAATTTGCACGTTTACCCACCGACACTATGTGATCAGTCACTATTAATTATCACTCCGAACTCAATACTAATTGGCGAAGTATTGGGTTTCCAATATAACATAATCTGTTATTTTCGTGATAGAAAAACCTGAAACAACTCTTTTTTGTTCTCAATTGATATTATATTCTGAAAAATTTCCGCGGTTAGTACAATTAATCCTAAAGCTAATGCTGGGTCCAGACCAAATAGACAAAACAAAAACATTCAAGTTTCGCGACAAAGTGGCGATAAATCGAAAACATTTGTTGAGACATTTCTGAACAATTTTGTTTTGTTTGCAAATTTGAAAACTTTTTCAGGTCCCGTCTCAGGTCGGTAAAGATCAAAAAGACTGTGTTTTGTCTGTGTATTTGACGACAAGTTGTCTGCGCAGTGTGGACGCGTGTGCGTGCCAAAACAAGTTAAGCAGTAGGAGAAATAGAATGTACAATTTTTATCAAAATTAAGTGTATTTTTCTGTTACTTAGTCTCAACACAAATGTTCACTCAACTCCATCCAACTCCAACCCACAACATTTGTACTCAAATCCACCCAGCACTGACACACAACATTCATACTCAAATCCTCCCAGCATTGACACACGTTCATACTCAACTCCTCCCAGCATTGACACACATTTATACTCAAATCCACCCAGCATTGAATATTTATACTCAAATCCACCCAACACGCAACATTCATACTCAAATCCATCTAGCGCTGACCCACAAAATTCTTATTTAAATCCACCAAACACCAACACACAACCTTTATTTTCACATCCACCTAGTATTGACACAGAGCTTTCTCAGTATTCAGATCAAGAAAACGAACGAAATTGATGGTGAACTTTTTGAATGTAAAAACAAGTAGACTCATCATTAATTTGCATGTAGTATGTACCTATCGTCAACTTCTTTTGTATTAAACATTTAACCAATAAATATGTAGTTTATTTTAAGGGATATTAACAAAAAAAATAGTAATGAAAAAAGTTTAACATACCTGTACATAACCACTAAGACTGTTAATTAAAGCTTTACATACTTCAGGTATTATTACAGATATTGATTGCTTTGATACTTTTGAAAGATACATTAGGCTGTGGTAGGAATCACCTGTTACTAAAAATCTTAAAGTGATTGCTAAGCTTTCTGTTACACTCATAGCATTTCTAAAGTTAGTATGTCTTTTTGCAACTGCAGGACCAACAAGGCATATTAGATTCTCAAAATCTTCGGTGGACATTCTTAAAAAATTTTTGAAGCTTGATCGAATTTCACCACTTAGTCCAATATCATCTGCTCGCAGCTCAACTAACAATTTGTCTATCGAACAACTTTCTCGCATTTTTAGGCTTGGTCTAATCCAAAAACGTTTGGGTTTTCTTTTAGCAACCTGGGATGATGATGAGAGCAAAAAAAACTTGCGGCTAGCAATAAATCTTCAGTTTCATTTTTTTCTTGATTAAAACGCCACATGGTTAACCAACACTAATCACAACAACAACGTCACCAACTGAATTTGTTTTTATATTTTGTTGTTCTGGTGTGGACAGTTTGTCTCAATTTTGTTTTGTCTTTTGACGACAAATTTTGTCGCCGGTTTATCGTGTTTTTGTTTCAGAATCGTGTTTTCGCTTTGTCTGCTTGGTCTGGACCTGGCATAAGAATACTATTCCAAGAATTAATATTAAACTGAATAGTCTTCGTGGTTGAACCGCGTCGATTATCATTGCGCCGAGCTTTCGACATCTTCTTCGATGTCTTCTTCAGGGCTTCCGAGGTCTCAGTCTCCCGAGCCCCCAGACATTACTAGACTGTGTAGTAGTAGTGTGTTGTTCTGTCCAGACCCTGTAATGACCTTTTATGGGCTAATGTACATTCATTCCAAAAGGTTAATTTGCATACCTTTACCTGCTGCCAATGTGAAAGCCTATTATTAAATTCTTTCCAAGATTTCTCCGAGTATTAGTTACCATTTACCAATTCTTTGTTTCAAATCCTACAAACATGTGTATTACTTTATGTAAACACGTAATTTTAGATAAATATAAAGAAAAAATCTAACACATTAAGGTTCGTAGAACGAGCAAGACATTCTATATACATATTAATTCTCTCTGTCCAATCCATCGATTGGAAAAACATTCGGGTTCAAAAAATTTTCAACCCGTCGGTAATAGTGGGGAAGCACTACATCTTGTTGAAATCAAAAATTGTATGGTAACTGGCCATTCTGTTGAAGTGCAGGAATAATTTGGTTATTTAGTAAATGGAAGATGGGTCTATAAGCCTATTTTGGATAATTCCCATCCAAAAATTCAACTTTTTTGATGCTGTTTTACTACTATCTATCGTATCGTATACTAATACGATTTTTTTTTTCACTACATGAACTATTTTTATTCTACAACTTATTATTGTGAATAGTTTATCAACAATTACTTACTAGATAGTGCTCGTTTATTTCTTACTACATTGTTTTAATATAAAGAAAAACAAGAGTTTATGTTTTTGCTAGTTGTTTACGTTTTGTTGACATCCTCACATCCTCACGTTGTGAGAATATCAACATTCTCACAACATTGAATTATTTCTGAATTTTTTAATTCTGAATTTTTCAGAACAAAATTGAATTAATTCTGAATTTTCCAGGAAGTTGTGCTAGATTACATTCTTCGAGATAGAACTCCTACATTTT